CCTGGTGTTGATTTGTGGCGACTGAGTTGAGAAGGCTGGTACTGCCGGAACACTTCTTACCATTGCAATAGTCTCATAAATTTTCTGATTTTTGTCCTTTATCTTTTTTCCTTATTTTTCTCTTTTTTCCATTCTTTTCTACTACAACTTTTTATCAGCTCTGCGGTGTCGTAAAGGGGAGGGACGGGATTATGCCACCAGAAAGGCCTAATTTGGGAGTAAAATTGGAAACGAGCGGGTTTATGAGGAAGTGAGAGGGGAGCTGAAGGGGTGGCAGGGAGGGGGCACGCCTTGGCGCAAGTGAATATTTAGTTTCAGACACCACTGGCACCCAATGAATTCGGCAATCAGACTGAGCAGGAAGCAGTATTTTTCTGAGAATGTTGTTCGTGTCGGACCACCAGACGCAAGACGATATTCTGCCTGGGCATGGGCCCTGCTTGCAGGCACGCCAAATGTTCAAATTATAACCCGGTTGTGATGTAGGCGATCTGTCCGCGGGACAGGATCATGCAAAAACGCTTGAGCACATCGGCAAGAGACTAGTGCGTTGCTGCTTACGCTCTGTATCTCCTCTTCATTTCTGTCGCTGCTGTATGAATTCTCACAGAGGATCGCAGGGTTTTTATTATTTAGGCTGCGATATGATGAAAACAGAGCGTCGAGTTCTGGAAATGCTCTCGGAATTCAATGTGGATCATTTGGATTTAAAACTAACTATCAGCAACGAGGTGCTGCGTGATCGTACGCTGTATACTTTGCCGGATTGCGCAGCACGTCGACGACTTTTCACGGTCGTTGAAGCTTTACTGATGGGCCTGTGGCAGGAAAGCTTCTTTGGACGAGTTGCTCTGGAGCAACAGGCGCAACTTTTTGTTGTTCTCATCTTTGGTATTCTGAAAGAGACACTTCCGAAAATCCGTTTTAATTCAGGTTTTTTGCCTAGCATTTCAAAGATTTGGTAGTTTTAGAACGTACTGGGTGGGTACCGGCAATGAATTAGTTTTGATCCCGGCTTCATTTCTAGGATATTTTGATTTTTTCCAGAGTCTGTGTGTTTTTAAGCAATTAACAGTAACTTCGGTTGACTTTTGATTAATTTCTGCCAAGTTTTTGGGTTTTTTCAAGCGCACTGAGAGGTGCAAAACTGGCCCTTTGTTGTTCGTACTGGTGCTTTTGTGCCCAATCATTTTTTCGAATTTTCTGGTAGGATGGGGGAAACGAAAGACTAGGATTTATTCTGGATATCTCTGTTGATTTTGTCGCATACTGTGCCGCCTGGATCAGCCCCACTTACTTCTGATTTTTGTCATCCCAGCCCAAATTTAGGATGGCGCCAAACTACACTACAAAGATCGTTGTCGGATAAAGTTAAGAGCTGAACTGAATTTATTCTTAGCCGAACAAAAAGTTGTACTTCCGGGCAGTCAGCGGCCTAATTTTGATATTTTTTTCCTTTAGTTTTAAGTCTCCGTAATTTGGCGCGGCTAGCTATCACCCCCGTTGCATGGAGGTTAAATTGAGATAAGAAGCAGATCATTTTCGGTAACTTAGATAGTGGTAAATTTTTCGTTTTTGCAACGTTTGTTTTTCTAAAAAGTACTTCGAATCCAAATTACAGAAATGTTCTGGTTTGGTGGCGAGCAGAAGCGACTGAAAACAGACCCGCTGAATAATTCATTATCGTTTCTCAGTGCGTGCTGGCACATTGCAGCACTCGCTCTCAGAAGTTCTGGTAATCGCCTTTAGGATCTTTTTTCGAAATACACACTTGGCCCTGTTTTTTCTTCTTTTTTAATCCGTTACAAGCAACCCTTTCGAATCCTCTTCTTGAAAATACTCAGCTTTCATGGCTCATTGGGTCTGAAATTCGCCATTAGTTGGGATTAGCAGTATGGTTTTTTTTGCTATTATCTGAGGATTTGGTTGTTTTTCTTGAATAATGATGATCATAGTAACAAACATAATTACAGTGTTGGCGACAATGTTAATGACAATGATGATAACAATAGTAATAATATCTTATTTTTATGATTGGTAACAGTGATGACAGCAATAACAAC